CGCACTCTTCGGCGCGTGCTCTTTGGCTTTCCCACCGACGCACCGCCCTGGCAGTTTTACCACCCGGGCTCTTGTCATGTGCTGTCCTCCCGCGACGTCACTTTTGACGAGTCAGTCTGCGTCTACCGTCTTCACCCCCACCACAGTTCCCCAGTACCCCTCCCACTTGTCTCCCTGGTTGTCAACCCCCCCTCGGTAACCACCCTCCCTCATCCCGGTCCTGCTCCCTCAGGTGTGTCTCAGGTAGACCCACCCTCCTTGGTTGAGCCTTTGGCTGTGACGTCCTTGAGGACAAGCAGTTTGAGCTGGAGTGCCTAGCGGCCGCTGCACCTCATCTCGTGTCCACGCTACTTAGCCCTGAGGGATAACCGGATACATTGGACATCCCAACCTTGCGTTCTTACACAGACGCAATCACGGGTCCGTACTCCTCTCAGTGGCAGATAGCCATGGACGCATAGATGGCTTCTTGGAAGTCCACAGGCACCTACGTCGACGCAGTTCCCCCACCTGGGGCGAACATAGTCGATGGCACACCGTACACTATGTTGGGACCACTTAGAGAGCGCCTATTGGGTTTACATGGCGTGTCGCCAGCCGTATGTCTTCCTAGCGCAAAGCAATCAGAGAAGGATCTGCCATAATGGCCGCAATGTACTGTGCTAGACGAATCCATTGCAAGGTGATTGTAGTAACTAGGCACGAACTCTTACGCAGCCAAAGAAGGGCATCTAAATACCATCGACAAACACGCACGTTGCTAAGAAGCCGAAGCAGCAGTGAGAAGAGAACATAGTCATCTTTGGCGCGAGGCTCACTACAATGCCTCTCGTTACAAGGAGTCATTGTCGAGTCGACAATCCAACTATAACATGCGGCCCCGCATTGTGACAGACCGCGAAAGCCGTTTAATGCTGGGAACTAAGCAATGATGGGTGAAAACGATGCGAGATAATAGGGATCAGGAGCCACAGCAGTGGCAGTGCGTCGAGTCGAGTACCCCAGTCGCGACGCGAGATTAGAGTTGAGCGCGATAGGTTGAAGTCTTGAAACTTCGTGATTTAAATATGTGAAGACCTGGGCCTACACGGGATTGGCAACACGATATGCGCTGGCGTATGCCAGCTAGCGGAAGTTGTAACATTGCACGTTGGAATGAATGTCAAAAAGCCTAAACGTGTTCTCAGCGTTCATAAGTTATGTATATTTGCCAAAGGTGAACACTAGTGCATAGCAACTACTAAGGGTCATTTGTAAACGCCATAAAAAAAATGTAACATTGCCTATCTTGACACTAGAAGTCATCTAACACCAAGAAGTTGCATTACGTGCTAAACACAACTTCAAACGATGGCAGAACATCACGCACATACGGAAACCCGGACTGCATGTTCAATAACACGAGTCTGTTCTCTGATCAACGGGCGCTAATCGACGAGCCCGCTCTTTGATCGACGGTTGCTGTTCGACTAGCATGTTCTCTCATTGACCAGCGATATTCGACGAGCCCGTACTCTGCACGACGGTCGTTGCTCACCTCTGCGTAAGAGCTCGGGGTCGGGATGTCTGGTGCATCCGGGTCTCCCTCAGGGGCAAGCAGCATGGAAGCGAAACGACGTACAGTAGCTGTAAGACATTCAAAGTCCTCCTGTCTGTCCTCAAGGACGTCCGTGCCAAGAGCACACTCACCCCGGACGGAAGGAGGACTGGCAAAATCAGACTCAGCAACAAGAGCAGTGGCGTAGTCTAGACGACAGGCAGCAGCAAAGTCAACCAGCTCAGCAACGAGGGCAGACGCAGCAGAGGACTCAAAAGAAGGGTCAGTGACAACACTGACGAGGAGACGAGAGACAGTGGGACTGGCAGCACGATCAAGGTCAGACTCAGGGTCAGGGACGGCAGGAAGAGAGGACTCAGGAGGAGGTGGCAGAGGAACACGTAGTGGAACAGGGGAAAGACAAAGTGCCATAGCGTGGGTGCTGGGGACAGGAGAAGGACGCGGACGAGGAACCCTACGACCAGTGCGAACAGCGCGAACAGGCGACACAGGACGAGACTTAGGCTCACGACACTCTGTAAGACCTCCAGGCTATAAGAGAGGAGTGAGGGTGGCGCTGTCGCGAAAGAAACAGCGTGAAGCACCTGAGTCAAGTGTAAAGGTGTGCAAGGCCTCAGCAGGCGCAGTACCAGGGAGAGCAGACTCACTAGCACCTAGAGCAGCAACCTCTATACCTGGGTCAGGCGGCACACACAGGTAACAGTCACCCTCACCTTGTGCAGAGGGCGGCACGAGAGCCAGCAGGGCGGCTAGTGGGGCAGCGCTGTGGTGGGCCCTACAAAAATCGGTCCTAACGAAGGAACTGCTCTGAAACCATGTCAAAAGAATGAACGAGAATGAACTATGAAATAGTTGGGTACAAGTACTAACCCTAATTATGTTGTACCCCTCACTATAGCCTACACAAATGTAAGCACTATAACATTCTGACACATCATGCCACGTTTGGTTGCGTATAGGATACACCGACCTGGGTTCAAGTTGGCTGCATAGAGGGTATCGCTATCAAGCTTGTTCTTCAGGTGTGAGCTTAAGCTCGGAGGACAGGAGTCAGATATATTCTTTGAACACCCTGACACGTGGACAAACGAAATGTCCTGGGTGGAGAAGAATCAATGTTACTGCCGTACTTAAGGTTACATCAATGCTGCAAGAGTCACAATGATACGGCAGATTAATGTAGTGGCAATGTTGAAATTTTTAAAATTACAATTTTAATTGTAGTATTTTTGTTCCGGGTCAAAGGATACCTAATCAGGGAAAAAAAAGAAAATCCCCAAATGCAAAATATCAACATGCATCTTATATCTTAATCTGTTGTTGAAGAATTGCAATGAGTTGTGATGTGTACAATGCAATAGCAATCTAGAGTGAGTTGCGGGGCACTACGTTGCTGCACGTTCAAATGCTAACCCTAAAAATAACGCAAATCAGAATCTGAACAGTGACCACTGCAACCTGCCAACCCGCGCAAATTTTTGCCATGTGTTATATACAAGCAGATGGGAGGCAGCTAAAGACAAAATTTGAGCCTGTACAGCTGTGCTGAACATTCTCGAAGCCAGCTGGCCAATGTCGCCTAGCTGGGTTCAATTACGCACAGCTGTCGGATCAGATGGGCAGTTACATCCGGCTGTTTGTCGCATGCGTTGTGGCTTTACTTGCTTGATTGTTTTTATCGGCAGTCCCTACAATGTTATTGCCATTCTTGACCTCGCAGGAAACACATTGCGAGGCGTTTAAACCACACCCTGGTTACACCAACTCCCATTTTACCCATGCTTATAGGGATGGGTTTGCTGGAAAACAAATGTGGAAAGAAGCTATCTGTCCTTTCCGGCGCATGCGCACCCAAGGGAACTTGTAGCATTACTGTACCTTCGAGCTGTCATTAGTTGCGCGCGTGAAGTCAAGGAGTTCACTCGTTTGACCATCCATTTTTTGTAAGTACTGTCTCCGTGTTAGTGATTGCAACGTTTACTCAAAAGGCGCTCGAAGTCCGTGGTAAAGCAACATGACTGAAAGTGGTTAACCTGAATCTAAGTGTTGCAAAAGAGACATATGGGTTTAAAAAAAGGAAGGACTCGATCCTTCATCAAGCATGCAAGGACAACAGGGACACCAAAACACACCGACAGGACTGAGTCTCTCAGTGGCAGAAGCACAACATTGACAATCCCCAACACCAAGTGCCCGTTTGTTTTTTTTGTTGAGTTGCTACAGTTATATATTTACAAACAAAGAAGCTGGAAAGTTGTTGTGACACTTATTTGCATTCCTCAGCACATTGAAACCTCTGCTTTGTATGGAAGTTGCCATTTGTCTGAGAAAGTTGCTAAGGAACAATGCCCCACTTTCTTTCAGGGTCTTTCAATCACTCCACCCTAAGCACCACGACCAACTCACCACAATTCTCAGCTCCACCATCCACTTTCTGTGAGAGCTTCAATCCATCGTCACCCGCTTCACGTTTTGAGTCTCTCCTTACCAACTGCTCCAGCGCATCACTCAGTAGTCACGTTCCGTAGAGCACAAAGCCAATGCCCATGGTGACTATACTAGTTTGCGCATCTGTCATCCCGTGACTCACGCCACTACTATCCATGTCACACATCAGGTAATGCTCTACTGTCACGTACGCAACCTAGTTCCCCCTCATGCATCGCCAAAGTTTTTCTTCACGTCTGCCATTGGTAGATGAACTTGAAGTATTAATGGCATGGTAAGGCATCATCCGTGTTTTTCGCAACATTTTCGCGCCGCGTACTTCCACTTTCGATGACGCTCGTTCACATTTCCAACTAAACTTCGGGATGCATTAAGATCGTGCTTCCGAATCGTGGACTGCCAAAGAGCCTCTAGACATGCTTATGCGTCTGTCTCCATGCCCCTTGACTGAACGTGGACCTCTGCTCTGATGGAAACGTGTGTCCTTGTGTCGCCAATGCCATCGACACCTATATGAAGGGCATCATTTTGAGCGTTTCACCACCAATCTTCAACATCATAATCGTTTCATCTACTCACATCATCCTTGTTTCGATATTTTGGCATTTTCCTGAGAACAATAGCCCTCAAACAACAGGTTAGCAAGACTAACAAGACACGGAGGACTTCCAAGGGTGCATCAAAGAAGGAGGCTAAGGGGAAGACTAAGACAACGAACGCTGGCAAACCCGAACCGCCCAAGGAGCCGCTGACGGGCGGGGAGGGTCCTGTGCAAGGAGATCTTTGCAAGTCTGGCCGTCCACGCAAGCCGAAGGTGTGGCTCGGGGAAAAGAATAAGACTACGAAAAAGGCAAAGAAGCCTTCTAAGGATGACGATGACAACGGCTGCGATGATGCGCATAACCAAGCAAGCGAGGATGAAGTAGGTGGCGAAGGAAACGATGCTGGTGACGACGATGCTATGTGTGCAGAGGATGCGGGACATGAATGTTAGGGACCTGCGGAGAACGTTGAGGAAAATGAAGATGATGAAGTGCAGGATGAGGAGGAAAAGGATGTCGAAGAAGAGGAAGGTGATGAGGAGGAGGAAGAGGAGGAAGAGGACGAGGACGAAGACGAGGAGGAGGATGAGGAAGAGGAGGAGGAAGAGGAGGAGGAGGAAGAGGAGGAAGAGGAGGAGGAGGAGGAGGAGGAGGAGGAGGAGGAGGAGGAGGAGGAGGAAGAAAAAGATGAAGAGATGGAGGCGGAGGAGGAAAACAAGATGGAGAAAGAGGAGGAGGAGGGGCGAAAGGGAAGCACTGCAGTGAAGTTAGAGCCTGGGGCGAAGGGCCAATTAAATAGTGGGCGTGCAGTTGATGAAGAGGCAGAGGCAGAGGCACGTGCATTGCTGAAGGGGAAGATCAAATCTGTTGTTGAGTTGAAGGAGCCACCGAAGGCTGTAGTTGAACCTAAGAAAGGATCAAAGACGATTGGGGCAGGGAAGGACAAGGGCGTGGCGCAGGTCACTGGCAAGAAGCAGGCTGGAGGTAATCCTGGCAGTGTTGCATCCGGTTCCGACCCGAAGTCAAGGAAAGCCATCAAGGAGGAAAAGGGCAAAGATGGTGTTGTGAAAAACAAACGGTCAACAGATGCAGTGGCGTCTGGCAAGACGGTGAAGAAGGCCAAGCAAAACAAAACCGAAGTTAAGGGCGAATCGGCGTCTACTGTTGCTGCGAAGGGCAGCAAAAAGGGAGGCGCGAAACACAGCGTCAAGGCTACAAAAGGTATGATCTACTTTTTTTATCCTGCTTTGGTCTGTCTCCCATGTTCATGCTGCTGAAACTTGTGTTAATCTGGTTCATGGAGTATCATCGTCATTCACAGGCTTTCGGCGTTCTGCACCATCCATATCGCATATCAGAATCCATGCTTTGCCCACTTTGCCTATGATTGTTTGTGCCTGTTTATGTTGCATATGCATTACAAGCAGGGCCAAAAAACTCGGGCGATGCACCACCTGTCCACATGACGTCCGATGAAACGAAGATGCTCGCATTGGTGCCGGTTTCCAAAGCCCCATTTGTGGAGTCGACCAATGATCGTCACCGGCAGAAAGAGTTTGTGACGGGCGCCGATCTCGCTGGGTTTGAGAAACGTTTGGTTGCGCAGCTGACAATGGCACTAACTCGGGCTATTGATGGCAACCATCCGATTGGCAATGAATTGGTGATGGCTGCAGCTCCGGGTGGTTCGGGCCCTAGCGCGAGCTCATCAGGAACCTTGCCGGAGCATCAAAGTCCCCTGGCCAATTATCGGGAGATTGTCAACAAGGCTATTGTTGACTTCAAGGTACCCCATCAAAACGCCCGCCCTCCCCCTTTTCCCCCTGCCCCCCACCCCTTTTCCATTTGACCCCCACCTCCCCCTACCCCCTCTCTCCCTTTGCCCCCCCCCCCCTCCCCCAGCCTCCCCCCGTCCCCCTTCCCCCCCCCCCCCCCCCTTCCCTGACTTGTCCATCTTATGTATTTTTTCCCTCCCTTTCCTCCCCCCACCCCGCATAGGTCTAATAATAGGTGCCTTGCACTTCTTGCGTCATGGTGTACTGCTTATTCACCCTAAACCTTTCCACCCTTTCCCCTCTTCCCCCTTTCCTAAACTTCACCACCCTTCCTGTCCCCCCTCCCTCATTGCACTTCGCCCTTGTCTTTTCCCCCACTGTAGGTGTACCAATGGTTGCCTTGCATGTTTTCATTCCTGCTTGCAACTCATTGTCTCCATCCAACCCCCCAAATTTACCCTCTTCCTCTCTGCCTCCTCAACCCTTCCCCCCCTCTCCTTTCCCCCTTCTTCTCTGTCCCACTTGTTCTCTGTCACACTATCCAAGTGTGGTTCAGTGTTAAAAAATAGTGAACATTGGTTTACAGTTGAGTGATTTGCGGTAACACATCATCCCCATCCAACCATCAATTCTCTTCTCCTTTGTCTTCATCCCCTTATCCCCCCCACTCTCCCCCTTTCTCTTTGCCCTCTTTCCCCCTTCCCCCCCCCTTCACCCCGTTTCCCCTCTTCCCCCCTTCCCTCCCTCCCCTTCCTTCCCTCTACCCCCTTCACCCCTTCCCCCTCCCCTCTTCCCTCCTTCCCCCTTTTCCGCTGGTCTTCCACTCTAAACCCTGTTCCCCCACCTCCCTTGTTCTTTCCCTTCCCTTGTACTTCCCCTCCCTTCCCCACCTTTTCCTTCACATTTCTACAATTTCCAGGAGCTATCAAGGCTTGTTGTGACCCATATGTGCTTCAACATCGCATCACATATGGTTCAATTCTACCCGTCAGCTGAGGAGGCACTGGGTCATGGGTTTTCAGAATTCGTCTCCCCGCCAGCTCTTGACGCCCTACGCAAGCTGTTTGAGCACAATGACCCTGCCACGCGTGGTGTGTTCTTTGAAATGCTCTCCCAAGCACGCACCACGATCAATGGGTGGATGAGGAATGTTGCGTTGACGGCGTTGGGCCGTCAGGCAAACAAGTGCTACCTGAGGAAGCTGCCTGAGGAACTGACGCCGCCAACGATCTTCTACACAGACGAATAACTCGTGGCGCTCTTCAAGGATGGTAAGACTGTTGAAATTTCAGTCAGCAATCAAGATTTATGTGGCCCCTGTTGTCTATCTTATGTTGTTGCAAATACCTTAGCCTTTGCAATAGCTATACTCATAATTGTATGAAAACCCATTGTACACGAAGTTGATTCTTTTTGTGTGTGTGCGAATTCTGTTTTCAGAGAAGTTGGGCTTGCTATGGCACCTTCTTGGGGCTGTGCCATTTGGCAGCAAGATTTTTGCGGTGTCCACAAGGTTGGCATTAGCACGTCGTGGTGTCAACACCGAGAAGATCAAGAGTCGTCAGCTCGGATGGATTCTGTATGCGGTGAGTACTGTATCATGCAAGTACAGGGATGATGGTCGTTGTATGTGTTTGTGAAACAGATTTGTACTATTTGCCCCTAAATTGAAACCATCCCTCTTAAACCCTCCAGTTTGAGTGGCCCCTCTTGAACAATGCCCCAGATGGGAAGCTGAGTGGCAAGTGGGAATACAATAGGCTGAAGTATGAGGAGATGTGCGACCGGGTGAAGCGGATGGTTGAAGACGCTGTCATGAATCATGGCGTGCAATATGCCCAGACCACCAACACGTTCAATTTTCCTAACGGAGTGTACATTGACGCCTCCGATTTTGGCCCCTTGGTGGCTCGGGTTCAGGTAAGTCAGTGTGATTGTCGATTTCGGGGTTCTGTAGTCCAGTTATCCCCAGTCTAACAAAGTTCTATGCCTTGTTCTGTGCCCAGGCACCACGTGTAGTCGTGAACCAGCAGCCACGTGCTCAGCCACCACCAACTGCATAAAAAATGCTGCTTGAAGCTTGGGAGAAGGGAGGGTGGATAAATGGTGGGGATTTTAAGTGATGCAAGGATGGTTATTGATGGCATGGTGTTGGACAGGTATAGGGAATACAATGGTGGCACGGGGCAGTAGCAGTGTTGGCGCGGGACATGCGCAACGGTGGTAGGACTTATTGTTGCATAAGTATTGGCAACGGGCAGATTGTAGCAGAAGTGCTGGCCAAGGGCAGATTGTAGCAGCAGTGGTGGCAAGGGGTAGATTATAGCAGCAGTGGTGGCAAGAGGGTGGATCGTAGCAGCACTTGTGGCAAGGGGCAGATTGAAGCAGCACCGGTGGCAAGACGGTGGATTGTTGCAACAGTGAAGGCAAGGGCCAGATTGTAACAGCAGTGGTGGCAAGAGGGTGGATTGTAGCAGCACCGATGGCAAGGGGCAGATTGAAGCAGCAGTGGTGGCAAGCGGTAGATTGTAGTAGCAGTAGTGGCAAGAGGCAGATTGTAGTAGCAGTGGTGGCAATGGGCTGTGTAGCAGTGGTAGGGATTGGAGCTAGTTGTAGTAATGGCGGCAAGGGGCCGGCTGTAGCGGGGGCGGCAAGGGGCCGGCTGTAGCGGGGGCGGCATGGGGCCGGCTGTAGCGGGGGCGGCAGGGGGCCGGCTGTAGCGGGGGCGGCAGGGGGCCGGCTGTAGCGGGGGCGGCAGGGGCCGGGCTGTAGCGGGGGCGGCAGGGGGCCGGCTGTAGCGGGGGCGGCAGGGGCCCGGCTGTAGCGGGGGCGGCAGGGGCCCGGCGGTAGCGGGGGCGGCAGGGGCCCGGCTGTAGCGGGGGCGGCAGGGGCCCGGCTGTAGGCTGTAGCGGGGGCGGCAGGGGCCCGGCTGTAGGCTGTAGCGGGGGCGGCAGGGGCCCGGCTGTAGGCTGTAGCGGGGGCGGCAGGGGCCCGGCTGTAGGCTGTACGGGGCGGCAGGGGGCCCAGGGGCGGCAGGGGCCCGGCTGTAGCGGGGGCGGCAGGGGCCCGGCTGTAGCGGGGGCGGCAGGGGCCCGGCTGTAGCGGGGGCGGCAGGGGCCCGGCTGTAGCGGGGGCGGCAGGGGCCCGGCTGTAGCGGGGGCGGCAGGGGCCCGGCTGTAGCGGGGGCGGCAGGGGCCCGGCTGTAGCGGGGGCGGCAGGGGCCCGGCTGTAGCGGGGGCGGCAGGGGCCCGGCTGTAGCGGGGGCGGCAGGGGCCCGGCTGTAGGCTGTAGCGGGGGCGGCAGGGGCCCGGCTGTAGCGGGGGCGGCAGGGGCCCGGCTGTAGGCTGTAGCGGGGGCGGCAGGGGCCCGGCTGTAGCGGGGGCGGCAGGGGCCCGGCTGTAGGCTGTAGCGGGGGCGGCAGGGGCCCGGCTGTAGCGGGGGCGGCAGGGGCCCGGCTGTAGGCTGTAGCGGGGGCGGCAGGGGCCCAGCAGTAGCGGGGGCGGCAGGGGCCCGGCTGTAGGCTGTAGCGGGGGCGGCAGGCGCCCGGCTGTAGGCTGTAGCGGGGGCGGCAGGGGCCCGGCTGTAGGCTGTAGCGGGGGCGGCAGGGGCCCGGCTGTAGGCTGTAGCGGGGGCGGCAGGGGCCCGGCTGTAGGCTGTAGCGGGGGCGGCAGGGGCCCGGCTGTAGGCTGTAGCGGGGGCGGCAGGGGCCCGGCTGTAGGCTGTAGCGGGGGCGGCAGGGGCCCGGCTGTAGGCTGTAGCGGGGGGCGGCAGGGGCCCGGCTGTAGGCTGTAGCGGGGGCGGCAGGGGCCCGGCTGTAGGCTGTAGCGGGGGCGGCAGGGGCCCGGCTGTAGGCTGTAGCGGGGGCGGCAGGGGCCCGGCTGTAGCGGGGGCGGCAGGGGCCCGGCTGTAGCGGGGGCGGCAGGGGCCCGGCTGTAGCGGGGGCGGCAGGGGCCCGGCTGTAGCGGGGGCGGCAGGGGCCCGGCTGTAGGCTGTAGCGGGGGCGGCAGGGGCCCGGCTGTAGGCTGTAGCGGGGGCGGCAGGGGCCCGGCTGTAGGCTGTAGCGGGGGCGGCAGGGGCCCGGCTGTAGGCTGTAGCGGGGGCGGCAGGGGCCCGGCTGTAGCGGGGGCGGCAGGGGCCCGGCTGTAGGCTGTAGCGGGGGCGGCAGGGGCCCGGCTGTAGCGGGGGCGGCAGGGGCCCGGCTGTAGGCTGTAGCGGGGGCGGCAGGGGCCCGGCTGTAGCGGGGGCGGCAGGGGCCCGGCTGTAGGCTGTAGCGGGGGCGGCAGGGGCCCGGCTGTAGGCTGTAGCGGGGGCGGCAGGGGCCCGGCTGTAGGCTGTAGCGGGGGCGGCAGGGGCCCGGCTGTAGGCTGTAGCGGGGGCGGCAGGGGCCCGGCTGTAGGCTGTAGCGGGGGCGGCAGGGGCCCGGCTGTAGGCTGTAGCGGGGGCGGCAGGGGCCCGGCTGTAGGCTGTAGCGGGGGCGGCAGGGGCCCGGCTGTAGGCTGTAGCGGGGGCGGCAGGGGCCCGGCTGTAGGCTGTAGCGGGGGCGGCAGGGGCCCGGCTGTAGGCTGTAGCGGGGGCGGCAGGCGCCCGGCTGTAGGCTGTAGCGGGGGCGGCAGGCGCCCGGCTGTAGGCTGTAGCGGGGGCGGCAGGCGCCCGGCTGTAGGCTGTAGCGGGGGCGGCAGGCGCCCGGCTGTAGGCTGTAGCGGGGGCGGCAGGCGCCCGGCTGTAGGCTGTAGCGGGGGCGGCAGGCGCCCGGCTGTAGGCTGTAGCGGGGGCGGCAGGCGCCCGGCTGTAGGCTGTAGCGGGGGCGGCAGGCGCCCGGCTGTAGGCTGTAGCGGGGGCGGCAGGCGCCCGGCTGTAGGCTGTAGCGGGGGCGGCAGGCGCCCGGCTGTAGGCTGTAGCGGGGGCGGCAGGCGCCCGGCTGTAGGCTGTAGCGGGGGCGGCAGGCGCCCGGCTGTAGGCTGTAGCGGGGGCGGCAGGGGCCCGGCTGTAGGCTGTAGCGGGGGCGGCAGGGGCCCGGCTGTAGGCTGTAGCGGGGGCGGCAGGGGCCCGGCTGTAGGCTGTAGCGGGGGCGGCAGGGGCCCGGCTGTAGGCTGTAGCGGGGGCGGCAGGGGCCCGGCTGTAGGCTGTAGCGGGGGCGGCAGGGGCCCGGCTGTAGGCTGTAGCGGGGGCGGCAGGGGCCCGGCTGTAGGCTGTAGCGGGGGCGGCAGGGGCCCGGCTGTAGGCTGTAGCGGGGGCGGCAGGGGCCCGGCTGTAGGCTGTAGCGGGGGCGGCAGGGGCCCGGCTGTAGGCTGTAGCGGGGGCGGCAGGGGCCCGGCTGTAGGCTGTAGCGGGGCGGCAGGGGCCCGGCTGTAGGCTGTAGCGGGGGCGGCAGGGGCCCGGCTGTAGGCTGTAGCGGGGGCGGCAGGGGCCCGGCTGTAGGCTGTAGCGGGGGCGGCAGGGGCCCGGCTGTAGGCTGTAGCGGGGGCGGCAGGGGCCCGGCTGTAGGCTGTAGCGGGGGCGGCAGGGGCCCGGCTGTAGGCTGTAGCGGGGGCGGCAGGGGCCCGGCTGTAGGCTGTAGCGGGGGCGGCAGGGGCCCGGCTGTAGGCTGTAGCGGGGGCGGCAGGGGCCCGGCTGTAGGCTGTAGCGGGGGCGGCAGGGGCCCGGCTGTAGGCTGTAGCGGGGGCGGCAGGGGCCCGGCTGTAGGCTGTAGCGGGGGCGGCAGGGGCCCGGCTGTAGGCTGTAGCGGGGGCGGCAGGGGCCCGGCTGTAGGCTGTAGCGGGGGCGGCAGGGGCCCGGCTGTAGGCTGTAGCGGGGGCGGCAGGGGCCCGGCTGTAGGCTGTAGCGGGGGCGGCAGGGGCCCGGCTGTAGGCTGTAGCGGGGGCGGCAGGGGCCCGGCTGTAGGCTGTAGCGGGGGCGGCAGGGGCCCGGCTGTAGGCTGTAGCGGGGGCGGCAGGGGCCCGCTGTAGGCTGTAGCGGGGGCGGCAGGGGCCCGGCTGTAGCGGGGGCGGCAGGGGCCCGGCTGTAGCGGGGGCGGCAGGGGCCCGGCTGTAGCGGGGGCGGCAGGGGCCCGGCTGTAGCGGGGGCGGCAGGGGCCCGGCTGTAGCGGGGGCGGCAGGGGCCCGGCTGTAGCGGGGGCGGCAGGGGCCCGGCTGTAGCGGGGGCGGCAGGGGCCCGGCTGTAGCGGGGGCGGCAGGGGCCCGGCTGTAGCGGGGGCGGCAGGGGCCCGGCTGTAGCGGGGGCGGCAGGGGCCCGGCTGTAGCGGGGGCGGCAGGGGCCCGGCTGTAGCGGGGGCGGCAGGGGCCCGGCTGTAGCGGGGGGCGGCAGGGGCCCGGCTGTAGCGGGGGCGGCAGGGGCCCGGCTGTAGCGGGGGCGGCAGGGGCCCGGCTGTAGCGGGGGCGGCAGGGGCCCGGCTGTAGCGGGGGCGGCAGGGGCCCGGCTGTAGCGGGGGCGGCAGGGGCCCGGCTGTAGCGGGGGGCGGCAGGGGCCCGGCTGTAGCGGGGGCGGCAGGGGCCCGGCTGTAGCGGGGGCGGCAGGGGCCCGGCTGTAGCGGGGGCGGCAGGGGCCCGGCTGTAGCGGGGGCGGCAGGGGCCCGGCTGTAGCGGGGGCGGCAGGGGCCCGGCTGTAGCGGGGGCGGCAGGGGCCCGGCTGTAGCGGGGGCGGCAGGGGCCCGGCTGTAGCGGGGGCGGCAGGGGCCCGGCTGTAGCGGGGGCGGCAGGGGCCCGGCTGTAGCGGGGGCGGCAGGGGCCCGGCTGTAGCGGGGGCGGCAGGGGCCCGGCTGTAGCGGGGGCGGCAGGGGCCCGGCTGTAGCGGGGGCGGCAGGGGCCCGGCTGTAGCGGGGGCGGCAGGGGCCCGGCTGTAGCGGGGGCGGCAGGGGCCCGGCTGTAGCGGGGGCGGCAGGGGCCCGGCTGTAGCGGGGGCGGCAGGGGCCCGGCTGTAGCGGGGGCGGCAGGGGCCCGGCTGTAGCGGGGGCGGCAGGGGCCCGGCTGTAGCGGGGGCGGCAGGGGCCCGGCTGTAGCGGGGGCGGCAGGGGCCCGGCTGTAGCGGGGGCGGCAGGGGCCCGGCTGTAGCGGGGGCGGCAGGGGCCCGGCTGTAGCGGGGGCGGCAGGGGCCCGGCTGTAGCGGGGGCGGCAGGGGCCCGGCTGTAGCGGGGGCGGCAGGGGCCCGGCTGTAGCGGGGGCGGCAGGGGCCCGGCTGTAGCGGGGGCGGCAGGGGCCCGGCTGTAGCGGGGGCGGCAGGGGCCCGGCTGTAGCGGGGGCGGCAGGGGCCCGGCTGTAGCGGGGGCGGCAGGGGCCCGGCTGTAGCGGGGGCGGCAGGGGCCCGGCTGTAGCGGGGGCGGCAGGGGCCCGGCTGTAGCGGGGGCGGCAGGGGCCCGGCTGTAGCGGGGGCGGCAGGGGCCCGGCTGTAGCGGGGGCGGCAGGGGCCCGGCTGTAGCGGGGGGCGGCAGGGGCCCGGCTGTAGCGGGGGCGGCAGGGGCCCGGCTGTAGCGGGGGCGGCAGGGGCCCGGCTGTAGCGGGGGCGGCAGGGGCCCGGCTGTAGCGGGGGCGGCAGGGGCCCGGCTGTAGCGGGGGCGGCAGGGGCCCGGCTGTAGCGGGGGCGGCAGGGGCCCGGCTGTAGCGGGGGCGGCAGGGGCCCGGCTGTAGCGGGGGCGGCAGGGGCCCGGCTGTAGCGGGGGCGGCAGGGGCCCGGCTGTAGCGGGGGCGGCAGGGGCCCGGCTGTAGCGGGGGCGGCAGGGGCCCGGCTGTAGCGGGGGCGGCAGGGGCCCGGCTGTAGCGGGGGCGGCAGGGGCCCGGCTGTAGCGGGGGCGGCAGGGGCCCGGCTGTAGCGGGGGCGGCAGGGGGCCCGGCTGTAGCGGGGGCGGCAGGGGCCCGGCTGTAGCGGGGGGCGGCAGGGGCCCGGCTGTAGCGGGGGCGGCAGGGGCCCGGCTGTAGCGGGGGCGGCAGGGCCCGGCTGTAGCGGGGGCGGCAGGGGCCCGGCTGTAGCGGGGGCGGCAGGGGCCCGGCTGTAGCGGGGGCGGCAGGGGCCCGGCTGTAGCGGGGGCGGCAGGGGCCCGGCTGTAGCGGGGGCGGCAGGGGCCCGGCTGTAGCGGGGGCGGCAGGGGCCCGGCTGTAGCGGGGGCGGCAGGGGCCCGGCTGTAGCGGGGGCGGCAGGGGCCCGGCTGTAGCGGGGGCGGCAGGGGCCCGGCTGTAGCGGGGGCGGCAGGGGCCCGGCTGTAGGCTGTAGCGGGGGCGGCAGGGGCCCGGCTGTAGGCTGTAGCGGGGGCGGCAGGGGCCCGGCTGTAGGCTGTAGCGGGGGCGGCAGGGGCCCGGCTGTAGGCTGTAGCGGGGGCGGCAGGGGCCCGGCTGTAGCGGGGGGCGGCAGGGGCCCGGCTGTAGCGGGGGCGGCAGGGGCCCGGCTGTAGCGGGGGCGGCAGGGGCCCGGCTGTAGCGGGGGCGGCAGGGGCCCGGCTGTAGCGGGGGCGGCAGGGGCCCGGCTGTAGCGGGGGCGGCAGGGGCCCGGCTGTAGCGGGGGCGGCAGGGGCCCGGCTGTAGCGGGGGCGGCAGGGGCCCGGCTGTAGCGGGGGCGGCAGGGGCCCGGCTGTAGCGGGGGCGGCAGGGGCCCGGCTGTAGCGGGGGCGCCAGGGGCCCGGCTGTAGCGGGGGCGCCAGGGGCCCGGCTGTAGCGGGGGCGCCAGGGGCCCGGCTGTAGCGGGGGCGCCAGGGGCCCGGCTGTAGCGGGGGCGCCAGGGGCCCGGCTGTAGCGGGGGCGCCAGGGGCCCGGCTGTAGCGGGGGCGCCAGGGGCCCGGCTGTAGCGGGGGCGCCAGGGGCCCGGCTGTAGCGGGGGCGCCAGGGGCCCGGCTGTAGCGGGGGCGCCAGGGGCCCGGCTGTAGCGGGGGCGCCAGGGGCCCGGCTGTAGCGGGGGCGCCAGGGGCCCGGCTGTAGCGGGGGCGCCAGGGGCCCGGCTGTAGCGGTGGCGCCAAGGGCCTGGTTGGAGAAGCTGTGGTTGCAAGAAGCGGGATGTAGTGATTACAGCAGCTCCACATCAACACTACCAGGGAGATTGTAGTGTAGTGGCTACTGTAGTGTGGGTACTGTATTGGGCGTGGTTGTGTCTCATCCTTGTAATGCATTTTAGTGTGCTGTAAGTATGATATTAATAAATCATATTTTGTACCGAATGTTGCTATAAAGGGTATGTAAGGGATATGGGAAGGACCAAGGTATGCCATATTTAAGACCAGTGTTGGTCTAAGTTGGCTCTGGATTTGGACGAAAAGAGGACCTACTATTAAGATTAACTTTGGCCAAAGACAGTCCAACGTTCGTCCTAACAAGTATTCCAATATTTGACTAGAAAAACGAGACCAAAATTGGTCTAATTTTGGACGAACACACCAAAATTGGACCTATTTTGGACCAATCTAAGGTAGGGGTTTTTGTGATGACGGCGCGTAAAGCGGCTGAGCAACAGCACCAACAATGGTCATCGCACTAACATCGCCGCCGGATGCGAGCATGACGCCACGGTGACGGGAACCGCTGCGACATAACCCGCTACAACGGAACCCGCTGCGACGGAACCCGCTGCAACGGAACTCGCTGCGACGGAACCCGCTGCGATGGAACCCGCTGCAACGGAACCCGCTATGACGGACTTTGCTTGGTGGGAAGCCGGTGCGACGATATCGGCGGCGTGGGAGCCGTTGGTGGTGACGTCGTCACGCCCATCAGCAAGTCGCAGCAAGGCAGCAACAGCAACGCAATCAGCGATGTTGCTCCCACCATCGCGCATCCCAAAGCCGAGCAACACAGGAGCAGCGATTCGGCGCGTGGAGGGAGCGACAGTCATTCCCAGGCCTTGATGTGCCATACCACACAGGGAGGTGCGGCAAGTGGAAGTTGAAGCTACCGTCAAGCCGCCTTGCAGAACGCCCAAGGCCGCGCCCACTACCACCCCAAAGCGACCATGGCGGCCTTGAGTGCTCACTCACGGAGAGAAAAAAAATAGGAACAAACATCATAACAAAAAAAAAAAGAGAATCACTGTACATTCCCGTGTCGACATTTGTGTCTCAATCCCCTTTTTCTTGAGTCGCGTCGAAACATTTTGTCAATCTCACGTCACAAAAAATGAATGTATCGTGACACTACACGACCAGGCAAAATGCACAGTTGTGCGCATTTGATTGGGTGACACAAATGACTGCACACCCGTTCCTTCAACCGCTTGGCTGGGGTGTGGTTTTGACGCGCGGGGTATTTTCTTGCTCGAAATTGGCATTGCATGCTGTCCACGTGCATTGACATTTCGAACCGCGTGCGATTTTTTAACAATGACGAGTCGGTTTACAATTCGTCGGCAACGTCAGCGTGTTTCACGCTGACCAATGAAAAATACAGCAATGGTCGCTGAAAGGCAACTCGCATTTGGGACACACTGCAGTTTACGTTGTTCTTGGGTGTCCCAAAGCGATTGAGATATTTGTGTCGACACAAGGATGTAGCCTAAGACGGCTGTGACTGCCTTCACTCACGGAGAGGGAACAAAAAAACACAAAAGAAAAGAAAATAAAATCTGATGATTGTTTGCAGTATGAGATGGTGGAAGGGATGGAATGAAGTCTCTAAAACTAAGGTCATTAGGAACCTAAGGAGAATGATGCATTAGGGTAAAGGGGGGAGAGGTACCTGAAGACTATCGAGAGAGTTTGTGTACCCCCTAGGGTGAAAATCACTACAGCCTATCTAAAACTATATAACATAGTTTGACACACCCCCATAGCAAAGCTCAGGGTGGATCACAATGTCACCACACAGTCTGAGCACAAGCAAGTGGCCACAAGGCCAATTCAAGAGTACTCAAGTATATATACCGTATATGCTAGGACAAACAGAGTAACAAACAAAAATCAAAACTACAGCAATCGCGGGCATGCGTCAATAAGGCCTAACTGCAGACAGAACCTGTGGTGGTCACCAGGCGGAAGAGCCTTGGTGAAAATGTCTGTGGTGTTGGCCTCTGAGGCCACGAAGTCCAAGCGTGCCTGACCGCGTCGCTGCAACTCTTGCAGAAGAAAGTACCTGACGTCGATGTGCTTCACTCTACTCTCCAGTCGAGGCTCTTGACACAGGAGAATCATGGCCTTGTTGTCAGCAAACAAGGTCGGTGCAGAGATCGGGTGCTCACCAAGGTCGGTGCGCAAGAAAGTCAACCAGCGAAGCTCCTGCGCAGCCATGGCACCGGCGTAGATCTCTACCTCAGCACTAGACGAAGCCATAGACGACGACCGAGTAGACCTCCACGACACAGCTCCAGTGCCCAAGCTGAAGCAGTACCCCTGAGTGGACCTCTGTATATCCACGTCGTCGGCGTAGGAAGAGTCGCACTGACCGGTCAGTACAACTGGCTGTGACCCTCCAAGCACAAGCCACATGCCTGATGTAGTTGCCAAGTACTTCGCCACCTTCATAGTAGCTGTCCAGTGAATAGGACGGTGTCTCCCAGTCGCAACAAAGCAAGAGAGGACGCTGAGGGTAAATGCGAGGTCCGGACGAGTACAAGTCATCAGGTACATGAGGAAGCCCACATGCTCTGCGTAGGGACCAGTAGACTCAAAGGGCTCGTCGGGAAAAGGGCCGGTGAGTTTCTGGTCAACGGCAAGAGGAGTGGGCTATGTGGTGGAGTGCTGAAGCCCGAACCGCTTAAGGACCTGCCACACCATGTGTGACTGTGTGAGTGTGATGGTGCGAGCAGCTCTGTCATTGGTAATCTGCAAGCCAAGGTAGCGGCGCAGCTCACCAAGGTCAGTGCACGTGTGTCTCTTCTGCAGTTCGGACTACACCTCAGCCAGTGCAGCCCTGTCTCGCTTCAGGCTCCACTGGGTCCCGGGCAGGAAAGTGCCAGTGAAGCCGGGAGGTCGGCGCAGCCAGATCTCCTCGTGCAGGCTGCTCTGGAGAAAGGCAGTGGAGAAGTAGAGGGAGTGCAGCTTGTAGTCTCGCTGTGCTGCAAGGTGAAGTAACACCTGAAGAGTAGTCATCTTCGGGGACGGTGCGAAGTTATGAAAGAAGTCAACTCCCTCGCACTGACTGAAGCCTCTAGCCACGTAGTGCACCTTGAAGAAAGGCGGTGATCCCGGCGACCGCTTCACTTTGAAGAGCCACATGCCATCGACTACGTTTGCCCCAGGCAGGGGAACTGCGTTGACATAAGTGCCTGTGGATCTCCAAGACCCCATCTCTAAGTCCATGGTTGTTATCCACTGAGAGGCCCACTGCCCTGACACTGCCTCACGGTACGTGCGAGGAGTCGGAATGTCAAGGGCGTTGGGGTCTCCCTGAGGGGCTAACAGCATGGCACACAGATGGGGAGAAGCGGCTGCCAAGAACTCTAGCTCAAACTACCTATCCTCTAGGACGTCACAGCCAAGGGCAAACTCAACCTCGACGGACAGAGGTCGGGCAGGCACCACTCGGGTGGTGTAGTCAAGACGGCGGGTGGTGGCAAAGTCAGTGACAGTGGTAGTAAGAGCCGAGACAGACGACGGAGAGGCACGAGGGTCCGTGACTAGAGAGGCGAGAACACGAGTGACAACAGGACGGGTGGCACGGTAGTAGTCAGTGATAGGGGTAGAGGTGGAGGCTGTAAGAGACGACTCAAGAGGTGTCGGGAGAACAGACTCAAGCGGAGAACAATAAGGACTCGAACAAAGTAAGACAGTGTGTAGAAGGTCAAAAGGAGACGAGGGACGTGCACGAGCGAGACAGCGAACTGTCCAGTCGTTCGGTACAACAAGAGGAGATGACTATGACCGAGGAGGAGAGAAAACAGCCGGAGACGAGTCCGGAGCGGGAAACGTAGGACCGTAAACATGAGGAGATGGTGAACGGTCTGGAGGAGGGGAAGGAAGACCAAGGGCCCGAAGGCCAATCACAGGTGGAGGCAACAGCTGCAAAGGCGGTGACTGCTGCGGCTGTTGCTGCTGCTGCTGCTGTTGTGGTTGTTGCTGCTGCTGCTGCTGCTGCTGCTACTGCTGCTGCTGCTGCTGCTATTGCTGCTGGTGCTGCTGCTGCTCCTTCTCCTGCTGCTGCAGCTCCTACTGCTGCCGCTCCAGCCCCAGCCTCTCCTGCTCTGACCGCTCCTACTCCTCGCGCTCCAACTGACGAAGCCTCTGGAAACTCGTCGAGTTGCGGTGGGGAGGTAGGGTAGACCCCGCAGCAACAGCGCCTCCAGCTCCTGTCTCCTTAGAACTAGCACCTCCAGCTCCAACACCCCCAGAACTAGTGTCTCAGGCACGAGCACCCCCAGGACTAGCACCTCCAGCGCCAGTATCCTCAGCCCCAGCACCCTCACGTCTAGCACCTCCAGCGCCAGTACCCTCAGCTCCAGCACCCTCACATCTAGTACCTCCAGCGCCAACACCCTAAGTCTCAGCAACCTCAGAACTAGCACCTCCAGCGTCAGTACCCTTAGCTCCAGTACCCTCGGAACTGGCACTACCAGTGCCCATGCCCCCAAAACCAACACCCCCAGAGTCGACTGCAACATGTCGCGGTAGTGCCGAAGGAGACGGTACCTGGCGTGCTACCGAGGGGAGAGGGGTAGCGTGCGACAAATACAGGAACAGGGCAGGACCAGGGGGGGGCGGGTGTACTGGAGGAGCAGGAGCAAGAGGAGGAAAGAGGGCGAGGAAAAGGGGAGGGGGGGGGGGGCGGGAGACCTCGACAGGGGTACCGGGTGTAGTAGGACACGGACTCGTCAAACCAGACGTCACGAGAGTCAAAGAACCGGTAGAGGGGCGGGTGGTAAAAGGTGTAGTCAGAGGAGTCCAATGGGAAACCAAGGAAGACACAGGGGATGGCACGAGCCGAGAGCTTGTCCGCAGAGGTGTCGCGGAGAAGCGCAAGGCAGCCCCAGGCCCGAAATTCCGACACAACACTAGGGGAACCGGTCCAAAGACTGGTCGGTGAAGCCCCTGGTCTTGAGACACGAGGCCAAAGGTTCAGCTGGTGGGTGGCGTAGCGAACCGCGTAGGGCCAGAGAAAATGGGGCACACGGGTATGGATCATGGAGGTGCGGGCGATCTCCATGACTAAGCCAATACGGCGCTCAGCAACCCCATTAGGCTGTGGGGACTCTAGAAGCGTCCAGGACTGGAGGATGCCCTGCTCGCGACAGAATCCAGCGAGAATGCCGGAGCAAAACTCACCCCCAGGGTCGGAGTGGAGGCAACTAACACGACGGCCACGAGTGCCCTCAGTGGCCAGCAACCACCTGATCAGCGTAGAAGTCACGTCGGACTTCTTCGCCAGAGGGAACGCGGTGGTGTAGCGGGACTAGTCGTCAACGACCACCAGAAAGAAGCTCTCCCTCTCGGGTCCAGGGCGAGGGGCAGGGCCCTAGACGTCCAAGTGGGGAGTCTAGAAGGGAGCGGTAGCCGGACGAAGGGAGGACGAGTGAGGAGTGGCACGCCCTAGCTAGAAACAGTAGGACACGGGAACGTAGCGTGAGGGCTAGCCTAGGAACCAGTGAAGAGGGTGGCGAACGAAATGCGAAGCTTAGGAACACGAGGAACAACTAGGTTAGCAGTGTAAGAATCGCCAGGGGAGGTGACTGCGGCTACCAGCCGCCATGGGAAATGCCTGTGGTAGGAGGCGTGTAGGAGAGAGAGCAGGTACGTGTGCAACTGCAGCTACCTGGTGCGTTCGAGTGCGGTCAATTACGGTTCAGTGCGGTTGAGTGCGGGAGTGTGGTTGACTGCGGTTGAGTCCGGTGGGTGCGGTTTAGCGCAACGGAGAGCGGTCAGTAGCGGTAAGCAACTAACTAGTAGCGTGGGGAACGGGTGGGCTGTC